TGTTAAATTGATTTTTGTTTTTAAAACTTTGCATAATTAAAAATAATATATTTCATGTTTCAGGTTTCAGATTGTGAAAAAGACAAGGATATAATGGGATCTATTGTCTATTGCATTCACCASAAAGAAGGTTGCAAATGGAGTGATCAATTACGACGTTTAAAAGTAAGCACTTAATATAAACATTGTTGAGTGATTATGATTAGGAAAAGTAAATAAACAAAAAAAATAATTGAGTTTTCTCTCTCTTTTTAAAGATTTTATTTTAATTAGTCAAAATTTAATATTATATCAACAGGGACATTTGCAAACATGTAAATATGATGCGTTACCTTGCACAAACCACTGTGGAGCTCAAATTGCCAGAATTTTAATGGATGATCATGTGAGATACACATGTATTGAACGTGTCATCAAGTGTGAATATTGTAATGGTGAAATGAAAGGAGAAGCAGCCGGAGAAGAACATAGTAGAACATGTCCAGTAGAGCCAATCCATTGTGAAGCTAAATGTGGTGTAAAAATTCCAAGACGAATGTTGGCCAAACATAAGGTAGACAATTTAAAAATTATAACATTTTGAATGATTAACTATAAATATAATTTTTTTTAACAGGTCACAGAATGTTCAAAAAGATTAGTACCATGTCGTCATTGTGGACGGCAATTTGTAGCTGACACTATAAACTCACACACAACATCATGCCCACGATTCCCTCTAACTTGTCCTAATCGATGTGAAATTGTCACTGTAGCACGTGAAGATTTAGAACATCACATTAAACATGCATGCCATTCAATGTTAATATCTTGTAGCTTCAAAGATGTTGGTTGTCGATTCAAAGTAAAATGATATAGATATTAATTAAGTACATTTTTACTAACTTTCATATTTTCAATTATAGAGTTTAAGAGGAAAGCAAATGGACACACACATGGATGAAGCAAGCCAACAACATTTATCATTAATGTGTTCAATGGTCACTAAACAACAACAACAAATTGTATCCATGAAAAAAGTGATAAATAATTTAGCTGTTAATCAGTCAGGTACATAACATGTTTTAAACAGTACATTCAATTTGAATACAAAGCTTATAAAGATCTAATTACTTAAATAGGTACGCTGATTTGGAAAATCAGCGATGTACTGGAAAAACTTGAAGAGGGTCGTCAAAAACTATGTGGTGATGGTCTAGAACTCATCAGTACGCCGTTCTACACCAGCCAATTTGGATACAAGTTGCAAGCATCGGTGTTTTTGAATGGCAACGGATCTGGTGAAAATACACATGTATCTGTTTATATAAAAATACTGCCTGGTGAATTTGATGCTTTACTGAAATGGTCATTTTCACATTCAGTGTCATTCACATTATTTGACCAAAGTGAAAAGGTGTGTAATCGAAAAATATTGTTTACATTTATAAAAAAACTAGCCTATTAGGAAAGATATATTTGCACATTAKAGCTGAATGTACTATGTATAAATTGGATTTATATAATAGGGATAGCTGAAATGTATACAAAGGTTTAAATATATTTTAGTTAAAAATAGAATGTCAAATGTAATTTAAAAAATAGCCCATATAAATGTTGATAACATATTTATAATTTTACATAAATATAATTTTCAGTCAAAAATAACAATACATTTTATAATACTATACATCATTATAAGTATATCAATGGTGGAAAGGCGAAAGGTCATAAATAACAATTTATGAATATTTTTAATTGTTCAGGAGCAAAAAAAAAAAAAAGCTTTTTTATGTTATTTATTAGAGATGTTTTGTTCATTTCAATTGAACTTTTCACCRAAGTGAACAACTAGTCCCATCCCTATCATTAATGACGTCAAATGGCGTTTATGCATACAACTTTATCCTTACCTGCTAATTAATGTCGCTTACTATAGAACTTTCAAATGACAATAAACAGCTGTTAAATTATTGTAGAAAAGGCAGTGCTACTTGTACACATACAGAATGCTGCTCTCTTTACAAAGAATAATAAATGTCGTTAACGACTATTTTATTGTTTATGACCTTTTCCCTTTCTAACATTGATATTATGTATATATATTTAAAAAAAAAAACATTAATAAGCCAATTTAAATTTTGCATTGTAATGTGCAAATATATTATTCTAGTGGTTATGTACAAATGTAAAATACATTATAAATTACTAATATTTTAACTACCTTTGTCATTTCATAGCCATGCAACATAGTTGAGAGTTTTGTGCCTGATCCATCTTGGGAGAATTTTCAACGACCAAGCACGCAGCCAGATAGCCTTGGATTTGGTTTTCCTAAATTTGTGTCACACGAAACTCTACTAAAAAAAAGACAGTTCATTAAAGACGATACAATATTTCTACGCATTAAAGTAGATCCCAGCAAAATAGTAGCAGTTTAAAAATATTTTCAGTTTATAATGTATATTATATGATCTCGTAAAATGTATATGAAAATAATTGTTCATATTCAATTTTTTTTKTGTGTGTGTGTGTTTTGGCTGTCTTTTATCACATATGGTAATGTACAAAATGTGACTGTTTGTTAGTGTTAATTCTTACACCGGTTGAGTCAATTGATTTACTTTATTTATTCATTTTTTCCTTTAAGAATACTATACCAAATACATTTTATTTTATATTATATTTTACACTATACTATATTGTTATACACATTAAACCTATTTGATTTTAAGTATTATGTAATTAAGTGTTTTAAATAAATTATAAACAAACCTACATTATATAAATCTATTCTTAAGGAACTGAAAAACTTGGTGTGAATTGTCTCTATTGCCGTCTAGGTGCAACATGTCTATCGAAATTGTATTGTCCGTTTTTCTTAAAACTAATGTAGCTGCAAATAATGGTTTGGCATTGAGTGTGGTATCTAAATTCTGATCAATCTTTTCATCATCAGATATAATGTGTAAACAACGGTCATTAATTTTTTGACGTTTGCAATAAGCTAATCTTTTTTCCATACGCCTTTTTCTTCTTTGATGAGTCCATGTATTTTCATATGCTTTAATGTCGGCTTGGTATAAAATACTTTCATCAATTTTTGATTTTAATACTGAGATTGRCAACTAAATACAAATAACAAAGTATTAAAAAATTATAGTTAAAAATACTATTGATAGTTATTTACCTTAAGACTATCTAGAAGTTCTGATAGTTTAGTAAGCGCTGTTGTAGAGTCGTACGATTCTGGAATTTTAAAAGACACTGGAGGTCTAAGTTTCAATTTCTCTTTTTGAAACTCTTTATTAGGCAAAAAATCTTTTAATTTTATATCWGGTTGAAACGTCCAAGCAATTCCCCAACGAGCATTCCGACCTTGATAGAAACCAGCTTCTGCAATTGTACATGCTCCAATAGCTTTCAGTTCATTTTTTAGAGGATCTAATGAAGCTTTATAACCAACCATTGTTGTATAAATACTAATAACAAAAAATTAAAAAGTTATAGTATAAATGCAATATATTTCCTTTGCAGGTAATATGGAAATTGTTGAGGGTAAAATATTTTTCAAATAAATATTGTRTAGAAAAATATAAAATCTATAATAATATTCATGTGATTWAAAGTATAAAAGTATATTTAGTTAGGYATTTATTAGGGATCGGTAAAATTTAAGTTTGCAAAATTCAAAATGAAATGTTTCTTGAAYTTTGCCAAACTTTAAAAAAGTGTAACCTTGACAAATTTTAAAATTCAAAGGTGATTAGTAAAGTATTATTCCCCCTTAAAAAACTATTGACTGCCATATACTCAAGTCTTACAAACTTGATTATATTAATACTTGTAATTTTTTTTTTCTTCAATTTTTAAACAATTAGAATWTCATTAAGTCTGAGAATCTGTCCTTTATTTATTTCATATTTATTACATTTTATTACAGTAAAATAATAAGGTATGAATTGTTTTATTTAGGAAGGTAAATTACAATTTAACACAATAGGCCTGGATGCATTGTGTTGCTGAAGTCTGAACAAAAATCTTAAAAATAATTTTTTAACAACTAAAAAATTGCTATTAAATTATGCTATGGGCTATGATCGATATGATTTAGCTATRAAATGTTTCTAATGTTTTTTGTTTATGATTATTGAACTCAATTTTGTATACACCATGCCTAAATAAATAATATAATAATAAATAGTAATATAAGATTATGATATTGCGGATGACATGTTTTTCAGACTAAGATTAAATATCAAGAAATTGTTTATGTATCAAGATGGAGATATAAGATATTTTTGTTTACATTTTCCTAGTCTGGGGAACATGTAAATAAATAATAAAAATTCAACTTTAGCCAATATCTCTTTTTAACTAGCCAAGTTTATCATTTTATCTAATTTACAAAATTATTGCATACACTCATCAGATATACAGTAAAATGTGGAAACAATATTCTAGTTTTGCTCACAGCCTAATTGTTTAATATTTTTTCTTTCCATTTTTAGGGGAACTTTAAAAACAAGTCAGATATGCTTACTTGCTTTTAGATCTCTATTAAAAAGATKGCAATGACATTTATTTAACAAAAACAATTGCCTCAAAAATAAAAGTGACAAAGTATTTATGGAAAAACAATATTAATTTTTATCTGATTTTTAACAAATAGTGCTTACAAAGTTGCATCATATTCATAAAGTGCAATGTTGATGAAACAGAGACATTTTTATAGAGGGGGGATACTCCTTGAATTATTATACTACCATAAGCAAGTAATATAATAAAAATTAGTCGAGCCTATTAAATTAATTGTTATTCATCTTAGTCTGTGATTGTTCTGCAGTACCACCTAACAAATAAACACAATTTTAAGTATTATAATTTGAAAACTGAGTTCAAGTAACAAACATGATTGTATCTTAATTTTTTCCATCATAAAACACATGATTAAAAAAGTTTTCCTAAGAGCTTAAATAGAATTATGCAAACATAAGCTTTATTAATTTATAACTTTAAACAAACAATAATATCATTGGTTATGACARAAATAATTATTAATCTATAAGAATAGTTTTACACAAAACARATTTCTAAGTAAGACTAATGTATTATAATACATAAATAATAYTATGTTATTGTTACCTTATCGAGTTCTGTAATATTTCACTTTCTTTAATCATTTTTTTTATAAAATCAACTTCTCCACCCATTGTATACATTTCAGAAGTAATTCCAACTGCGCTATCTGCTTCATCATCTGATGAATTTAAATTTGAGAAACTATGAAAAGGTGGATTACACATACAAAAGTCATAATGTTCATCTACAGCTACTGGCAATAATCTCTCCCACTCTGATACCTCTAGAACTAAAMACAGAAAAATTGAATTAAAAAATTTCATTATACTTCATAATTCTAGTTAAGTAATTACCTTGAATTAAATTTTGTAAATTATTTTTTTCTACATTTTTATTAGCATTTTTAACAGCTTCTTTATTGATATCAGTACCGACCATGGACCACTGAAATTGTTTAGCTGCTAATAATGGATAAATACACGATGAACCTGTGCCTGAAAAAATAAAATATTTGRTTTGATTTTAATTATCAACTACCAAGCATGCTAATAAAAAATAAATAAAATTAAGTTTGTATTAACAGTTTACACATAGTAGATGATTAATTAAAATAACTAACGATAAAATTAAAATAATTTATAAAAGGGAGGGGGGGAAGTAGGTAACTACTTTGCTGTACAGCAAGAGTCGATAGTAACTCGTCATCAAGTAGGTCACTTTAATAGATGTACCTATTAAATATAATTCAATTAATGATACATCGTTGCATATAGAAAAGACAGTGTCAAAGTGTAAACCTATAATTTTATAAATATATTACTATTAATTATAAAAGTAATAGTATAAATAAATAAATATTGAATTATAAAGGCAATAGAATAAAATCAATCTCAATCTTTTGATGATGTTATTGTATGTACAAAATATAATAACTTATAAAAGGTATACGTAAAATTTGCAAATATCCAAGTACAATATTTTTGAATAACAACAATATAAATAAAATAGTTATTTATT